GCCAGATCCTCTGCAGAGCTTCCTACCCTCGAGCAGATCGATGCTCCCGCCCAACTTGATGTCATCTCCTGTGTTGCTGCAGCCCCTAGGATCGTTACTGATGTTAAGCCTTGCTGTAATCTGTAAAGGTATAACTGGATGTAGATCCTAACTTGTTTTGATTTCCCCTCTTCCTGCAGGACGATGCCCGTCAGTTGTTTGTATTAGCTGGAAGTGCGGAGGAAGGCGTGATGACTGCCGAGCTAGCTGGCGTGATTAAGCGGTTATGGAGAGATGCTGGGGTTCAGGCCTGCTTCAGCAGATCAAGAGAATATCAGCTTAACGACTCTGCCTCATAGTAAGAAACTGTTACTAGCTTCTGGGCCTTCATGGCGAACCAAAGGGTGTTCAGAAAGGGCCGGTGTGACTGAAAGCGGGGTGGTCCTTGGGTCCCCCCCCGAGGGGACAGATGGAAACCCTGGTCTGACTGGTTGGGCTCACAGGGCAACTTGGTGCTTTAGCTCGTCAAAGTCAGTTTTACTGTTTGTCTTCCCTGTATGTAGTATTGGGGGGGAAAAAAAAAAAATCCCCAAACCAACACATTCCTTATTTTGCGCCTAGGTGAATTTGCCGATCTGTTTTTAGTGGAAGAATAACTTAGCAGCTTGCTTTAAGATGGCTTGTTACAGCAGGTGATCAGCGATGTCACCTTCGTTATCCCTACAGAAAGGAGTAACACCTCCTGAAACCAAGCTCCTGATTAAACCACCAAATTTATGATGAGCAACCATTTCCAGTTGTGGGAATCTCCTGATATCGGCAGATCAATATATTGAATATACTGGCGGATCGAATATTCACATAGTTGTCCTCCTTAACAGCTCTCACTGCGCTTCTGTTCCTGTGCCTGGCACCGCATGGGCAGCGCTGCAGGCTGGCTATAAACCTGCTTATTGTTCTGTTTCTGAAATGCACGCAATTGCTTAACAATTGGGAAGTTACGACTAGATAAATAGCATGGAGCGCTGTAGGCTGCTGCTGGCTGGTTAATGAGGGTTTTGACTAAATGCCTCTTCTGTTTCCAAGAGGCAGGTTAGCGCAGGGAGGGGAAAACTATTTCTTTTAATGAGCAAAACAGTTGTTGCTTTTTTCTTTTTTTTTTTTTTTTTTTTTTGCACGTACCGTTGTTTTTTTTTTTTTTTTTTTTTTTTTTTTTTTTTTTTCCCCTTCCCCTTTTTAAAAAGTCATGTGCTTGGTCTCTCTAGAACAAATATTTGAAACTCTGAAAGGATGATTTTGGGGTTTGGTGTGCGTCCTGATTTCCAGCTGAAAACATCTCAATTTAGCCAAGTTTTAAGCCTTTGAAAAATTAGTTTGGAAGTGCTTTATAAAAAGAAACTTCAGATGTGTCACAGCTCAGTTGCCTGCAGGCTCAGAGCATATTTTAGCTTGAAAATAAGGAAGAATTTTTCTAAATTTGTAACACCTTGGCAGGCTATCATGGATTTAGATCAAGGTAAATGAGTTGACAAGAGGAGGCTTTCTCAGATTCGCGTGTGCCTTTACAGCATGCAAGGAGGAAACTTCAGATTCAAAGGGAGAAAAAAGGAGAGATGAGGAGGGGGATGAATGAGGGAATAATTTAATGAAAAGGTATGGAGAAGAGAAGGAAGGCTTAAGGAGTTCTTGAGCGGAGGATCTCGGGCAGAAAGCGTAAGTGGTTGAGTGGAGCTTAAGCAGGAAGCTAAGGATGGGGAACCTTGGCTTTGTGGTCTTGACGGTCAGCTTTGAAAGAGAAGGAGAATGAGGGCAGGCTGGAGAAAACAAGGTAGAAATGGGTCAGAAACGGCAGATTGGGGAGAGAGGGCGTAAGCCTGCTCGGAGGTGCCCCCTTGATCTGCCTGCCTTCCAGAGACTGGATTTTGGAGGGTTGTTCCAGTTCCTGAATACCTGCAACCCACTCGTGTCCAGTTTCTGGCCCTGGTACGTGTAGGCACAGCTGCTGTGACGAATTGCTCTCACGAGCTGGTGTCAAGTCTGCGTGGCAGAGAGATTTCAGCCCAGTGATGACCCGTGTGGCATTTTTCTGATACGTGCATCAGAGAATTTTCCTTCCTGTCCTAAAACCACAGGAAGTTGCGCTAACGCAGTGTTATTTTGAATCGGTAGCCAAGCAACTCAGCAGTTAGGAAACGCTGCAAGTGGGTTCCTTTAGCGCAGAGCACCATCACGCAGTTAAAATCCTGTTTTCTCCTGCAGGACCCCCATCTCACCAGTGTACAGGATGAGCTGGCCAGATGAGCGTTCAGGTTTTTTTTTTTTTTTTTCTTCTTCGCTCAGTGCGTGGCTCCTGACCTGCCTTACCTTCTGGTGTTACCCGAACAATTCCCTTGTCCATGCTTAAAAGATGGATTTCTTGCAATCCCTTCTTGCGGTGGTCACGTAGGCACTAGCTTTTGTGCACAGTTCTCTTACGGGAATTTCACTTCCCTTCTCCTTTCAGTATCTCCTACAAATGGGACTGAAACTTCAGGGTTAGCAAGCAGCCTTTAAATATGTGCCCCATTTGAGATGCCTGGTTTTCCAGCTGAAATTCAGTCTGGTGCTGTGTTTCAAGCCTGGTTCTGGCTGACTGGGTGCTGTTCCTTGCTTCACATCGGGCCTCTGCTGAGGCACCCAGAAAGGGGGAGAAGGAAAAAAAAAAAAAAGAGGAACATCTGAGTGATTGCTTGTGAAAATTAGGTGGCATCAAAAACAACAGTGCTGTGGCAGAGCCAGGGTTTTCAGGGCATTTCGAATTGTTCCAAAAACTTTTCTTCCCTGCTGTTTCCTGCCTCGTTGAGCGCTTCCCCTTGTGCGGGCGCGGATCCTGCCCATCGGGGAGCTGCCCCGGCAGGCAGGAGGCCGTGTGGGAGGAGAGGAGGCAACCATAATAACAACGGTGTGTCGTAATCCATAGGCAGTAGGCTGGGGTAAGCTCCCAAAGATAACCACTTGTGACAGTAATCCGAATGATCTGTCCTGGAATCATACTGTTTTGCATGTTTTCTTCTTTTTTTTTTTTGAGAACAGTTGAGTAACTCTTGGTCTGTGGATGTTCAAGCACTCGTGTAAACACTCAGAGTCTTCTCCAGCCACCATCTGGTAATGTCCCTCTTGCAACCGCCCTGCTTTTCTGGTGTGATATTTCAAACACATATATTTTTACTTGCCTTATTGCAACTTCCTGTTTTTCTTTACCTGTGACGTGAGCAAACAGCTCTGTAGCTCACCGCTCCTGTCTCGAGTCAAGGCTGCGGAGAAGCGTTTCAGACCTTTGTGCACAATTCTCGGTGTAATAGCTACGAAGAACAAAAACCTGGTTTATGGTGCTGCAGTGTGGATGCTGAGGCGTATTGCTGTCTTGCGCATCTTCAGCTACCTCTGATACTTGGAAATGCCGGCAAGCAGATAACGCTTTAAAATATTTTAGTTGCTGGTTTCGCTCCTCTTTCCGAAGTTCATGCGGACACCAGTCTGCAGATGCTGTAGGTAATTCTCTGCAGTCTCTCAGGCAATTAGCATAGTTTCTGATCAACCATTCTCTATGCTGGCATATCTTGTCTTGTTCCCACGTGGCAGTTTTGGCCTGAATTCCCTGACACGATGCTGGATAAAACCTAGATTATTTCCATGTGTGTTTTTTTTTTTTTTTTTTTTCTCCTCTTTGCTTTCAAGCACTAGGTTGCAGAGCATTGTCCTCCCGTTTGCATCCTGATGCTTTCTGGTGATTCTCCTCTAGTAGCACCGCCTTGGGATCACAGCTCAGGCTTTTGAAGCAGGCTTTTTCATCTGTGGGTCTGTCTTAGCTGGCCCAGATGAGCGTTCAAATTGATAAAGGTCATGCACAACATTCCCTTTTCCTGGAGATCCCGCTCTGTTAGCTTTTCTGCTTTGCTTCATCTGCCAAAATCCAGCTAAACACGAGGGGAGAGGGGAGGCAGACTTCTGTGAAAGAAATGCGTCTCTTAAATACAGGTTTCACCAGGTCTTCCCCCATTTTCTTCTTGCTGGAGGAAGACTTGGCTAGAGATGATTAATTCTGTATGAGCTGTCAACCTATGTAGGAAGAGTACTGTTTGCATTTTCAGACTGGCACAGGTGCTGGGGATAATGTTTCTTGAAAGCTTGGTGTTTGGTGGCTGCAAATACCGACCCGCCTGGGTACCAAACCTGCATCTTTCTGCCCTGGTCTCTCCTCTCCATGGTGAAGGCTGGCTTTTGTTTGCTGCTGCGCCTTCGGGCGTGATGGTGACAGCCCCTCCTTTCCTCCCTCCTGTAGCTTAGGCAGCGGATAGCCGTTCATAATAAATGCTTTGTATGAATCTTTCAGAGCTTTCAGAGCCATTTTTGGCCTTGAAAGCATTTTTCCAGCGTTAAAAGGAAACGTGACTGAATAGTTAGGAAAATACCATGCCAGGGTTCATGTGAGTGTGTGGAGGAGGGGAACTCTGTTATCTTCACCAACTGAAAGCTGTCCATCCCGCTGCTGCGGTCAGTCTGTCTTGGAGCAGTCTGAGCGTGAGATGGGACGACACTGAAGCTGGCAGGTTTTCTGGTCGAACTGGAACTACAGATCCTTGCACACGCAGGTATTGAACCAGTGCCAGCCTGGCACAGGGTGGCCTGGGAAGGCTTGGAGGGTCACTAAGGCAAACACGAGTTACGCTGTAGGCTTTTGGTCAGCTTTTTTTTTTTTTTTTTTGTACTCGAGCCCTCATTTTAAGGGTGAAAAAAAGAAGGAAAACAAAACTGTCTTTTTGCAAGCTTGTATTTGCAAGGTGGTGTTGAAGCATGAGAAATAGTTGGCTCTGTAAACACAAGGATCCAAGGTGGGGAAGAAGTGTTGCAACCTCAGCGTATGAAGAAAGCGTGGTGGCGAAGGAGATTGTGAAAAGGGATTCAAACTGCGTGGGATGTAGTAAGATTCAGTAAGGTATATGTTTTCAGTTCCCAAAACAATATTTGTGAGGAACATCTTTAAACTTTCAGACAGACTGTGGCAAGCTGCGGGTTATGAGTCGCTCGAAACCATGAGTCTCGGACCGTGCTTTTCCAGTTTTTTCAAGTTCCACTAAATCTGTATGTGGTAAAGGGAAACAAGTGACAGTCTGCACGGGCTGGGCTCTGCAGCCGGGCGTTGTTGGGTGGGCAGGCTGCTTCAGCCGCCTCCGGCAAGGCGAGGATGGCTGGAGGAGGCTGCGTGCACATGGGCTTGGGCGGCTCTTCTGCTACCGAGAAATCCCCTGTGCTGGATCTGATGGGGCCCTGCAAGAAAGCTGGAGAGGGACTTTTCACAAGGGCGTGTAGTGATAGGACAAGGGGTAATGGCTTTAAACTGAAAGAGGGTAGATTTAGATTAGATATAAGGAAGAAATTCTTCAGTATGAGGGTGGTGAGGCGCTGGAACAGGTTGCCCAGAGAAGTTGTGCGTGCCCCATGCCTGGAAGTGCTCAAGGCCAGGTTGGATGGGTCTTTGAGCACCCTGGTCTAGTGGAAGGTGTCCCTGCCCGTGGCAGGGGGGTTGGAACTAGATGGTCCCTTCCAAACCATTCCATAATTCTGTAATTCCAACTGCTTAGGCATTTCCATGGGTTCTGGTATTTATTTGCCCTTTGAATCTCCCTGGAATTGATCTGGCAAAGCTTATTTTTCAAGGCAGCTTGCAGATCGAGCACCACTTAATCTGATACACCTTGTTCTCCTGACTGACATGCAGGTGGCACTTTGCAATTCATTTGGTGGGAGTTGCCTGACTCCATTCACTCCTCACTGGCTGCCTAAAAAGCCTTGAGCAGGAATTATACCAGTTCCACTGCCGAAACTTCTGATGCTGAAAGCTGGCAATTAGGAACAGATGCTTTACAGCTTCAGCTTGCACATTTATCACTTCAGTGATTCAGGGCAGCTGTGTGACCTGTATCAAAGCCAAGCTGTTAGGAGTTGCTGGGTCAGTTCTTCCATCAGCTTTTGAACCACTGTGTCCCAGCTAAACTCATACTGGAAGGAAAGAGAGGGGAGGGAAAAATCTGGGCATGTTATTTCCTCAGCAGAAGTATTTCTTAACAGAAGCCTAATGAAGGTAAGTACCTTCCAAACTCTGTTTTACTAAGCTGAAATTAAAGCCGATCCCAAGCGTGAGTTTTGGGTGCTGCGTTTCTGGTCAAAGAGCAGTTCACAAACCCGTCATCCCATGAGAGAGGAATGAGGGGAGTTGGCCCTTTCTGGGCTAAAACCGCTTGCAGATACCAGCTCTGAGAAAAGCCCCGCGGTGCCGGGCGAGCACAGGCAGGAGGCTGGCAGGTAGGCTGGATTCTTCTGGGGTTTGGAAAATAGGTCAGCGCTCTGCAAATATGCTGGCAGTCCTGGGGAGAGGAGATGCTGAAGCTGACGGAGGAGGGAGATGGCGCTCAGTACGTTGCCTGCTCGGTGACGGAGGCACGTGGAAATTTTGGAGCTCCTGGCACAGCTTTCAGGCGCATGGGAAGGAGCGATCCCTGGCTGACAAGGGATCTGTGGTAATGCTTGGGAGGGCAGGGTTTATTACACCAGTGTAGAGCCGCTGTGCCACTAAAATCTCACAGTTGCATGGTACCGTATTGATTAAAAAAAACCACTCCCGATAGAGACGTGGCCGTAGCTGTTAGGAACAACGCTGCTGGCAGCTGCGCACGAACGCGGCTGAACGCTTGCCTCCCGTCCCTTCCCAACGGAGCTGGAGCAACCCTCGTCTCCTTTGCGGAAAGGAGGCCGTCGCCTTCCCCTTAACAGGAAAAATGAGCTCAGAGGTGTTGCTGGCTGGAGCGGGATTTCTGACGCTGCTGGAAATGATGTGTACCTCTTGCTTATGTGCCCGAGAGCTGGACTTCAAAGGCAATCTGCTGCAGTTGGAATTAGCTGGGGTCTCGACGGGCGCGTTGCCTTGATGCTGCAGAGAAACGGCCGTGCCGTTGGGGAGCTGCACGCGTTGTGTGTTACTTTGCTCTTGCTGAAGGAGGTGAATGAATCTGCCTGGTTTGGGGGTAGTTCTTGAGGCTTAATTCTTTCCTCCTGGTTCATTTGATGTATCCTTGCCCTTTAAAAGTGAGCCACGGGATTTATTGCCTTGTGCTTTGATGCGAAAGACCTTGAGTACTTTGAATTGCCCCCAGAGATACCAGTCTTGGCATGGCTTCTGCATCAGCAGTACTTCTCGTGCTAGCTTATCAGGCTTCACTCCCCAGCTAGCTGAACTCCACCCAACACATGCTGCAAGGTCATATGGGGAGGTGTTAAAAAAAAAAAAAAAACACCCCAAAACAACCCAACAAAATCAGCCCTGGGATAGACCCAAGGGGGTTTGTTTGCTGTATGTTCGAGGTCTGTACTATGTGAAGATAATGAATAAATTCTGTAATGACTTTTCTTCTGCAGTTTATAAAAGATTCATGGTGAGCAAGCAGACTAAAAAAAGCGCATCTTGTGTTGTCTCTTCTGGTTTAGTTACCTAAATGACTTGGATAGAATATCCCAGCCGACCTATATTCCGACTCAGCAGGATGTTCTGCGGACCAGAGTTAAAACTACAGGCATTGTGGAAACTCACTTCACCTTCAAGGACCTGTACTTCAAGTAAGTGAAGGGCAGCGCTCGTCCCTGTGGACTGCGGTGACTTCTCCAGTGCGCGGTGGTGGTGGTAGGTCCCACACCTGCGCTGCAAAATGTCTTGCCCTGTTTTTAACTGTCCTCCTTGCCTCCGTTACACTCCCTCTCTACTGACATTGCTCACTAGAGATACCGGTTTGACTTTTCTTTGCCTTCTTCTGTTCTTTTCAGCCGCTTTTATGTTGGAATCGCAGACACAGGTACTGACTTCTTGCTTACAGGATCCAAAAAAAAAAAAAAAAATACTAAAAGGACACTGACTCCTGGATTTTGAGTTTGAATTTAACCCCTTCCTTTGACGCGGGAGATAAGAGCTCTCCCCGCAGTCAGTCTTGGCTCTGGGCTGCATGGTGTTCTCCACGAAGCTGTAGATGACTGTGCTGACTGACACTTGCTGCGGCGCAGGAATGGGGCCTGCAGAAAGCGTGCTGGGGACTGGCTGCCTTTGCGTGACACCGCAGAGGATGGGACTTCCCTGTCCTCTCTGCCTCCTAAATTCAGTCCCTGCAGGGCTCGGGTATCGAGCCTGGTCTTGGCAGTGTCCCTTTACGTATCACTAACCCAGCTCCCTCTAACCTCCGTAGCGGCTGCTAGCCTGCAGTTTAGTTCTCCTCCCAGCTCTTGATCTGCTCGTTAGAAAATCCTCGCTTCGGATCCCGAGTGCGCTGCTGACGAACAGCCTGGAGCCCCGCAGGGCGGGCATTCGTGTCCCGTAATGTGGATGGAGGAAAACGCAGTGCCTGTATCTTGGGCGAGTTCCCTTTGTCTGTGGCAATGTTTTCAAGACTTTGTTGCTCATGGCCTTTAAATAAGCATTTGTTTGCTTATTTTTAGCTTGTGCTTGAAAACAGTTTGAAAGAGCTACAGTGAAAATCCAAGCGTTGCTTAGAAAATCTGATTCATTTGCACGCTTTTTTGGGAGAACAGTAGCATTTTGGCTTCTGAACTGTCTTAACTTATGAACCGTTTTAACAAAAATGCCTAAACACTTTGCATCGCCGAGCTATTTACATGGCTTCTGGTTCGGCCAGGGAAAACTTGTCTTCCGTCGTGATGTATTAGGATTAGTGTTTCGAGCTGCAGTGTGTGTGGTGCTCTTTTAAAAATCATCACGTCTGACTAATGGAAGAGTGAGCTGGAGGTAGCAGGCATATTCCGTTTAATCATTAGAACCCTTCCTTTAAAGTGAAATGGCTGAGCGCTCGGAGGCATGCCTCCCTGATGCAAAGAGGAGAATCGCTCTTCCCAAGCCTTCCTGGAGTCATTGATCATGTGCAGAGCTTGAGACACGAGGTGTCTCGTCTCGGAGGGATTTTGCTCCACAAAGGAAAGCATTAATACATCTTAAACCCTGAAGCTGCCATCTTTCCCGCGATGTTAAATCTCAGACCTTAATAAAGGGCTGAGGTAGCCTCAGTATAACTGTGACTCGAATTTGGATTAGCTTGGCAAAGCTGAGTTGTCAGGGATGCTGCTCCTTTCCAGATGTCTCCACGCTAACAGCGGAGAGTAATGGCGAATGATACAGGCTGAGTAAATAGCCTGTATCGGGCTCACAGAGATTTTCATCTTTCCTCCTGTGGTCCACGGGGACGGTTTACCTTAAATAGAAGATTGGAGTTAGCTGAACGCCACTTCTGGCTGCCTTGTCTGGCACCATTAAATTGCATTGCTTTTGGCCCACCCTGGGCAGTTTCTCTCTTGTCTGCCTGTTTGCTCTGATAGCAAATCAATGTTTATGATTTTCATAGCTCTCGGATATTGACTTGTATCTGGCTTGATTTAATTAAGTCACAGTCCATCAGAACATCCTGGGCAATCCTGCTTTTCATCAAAATATTTTGGTATCCAGGACACTTGCATCTTTTTTTTTTTTATAGACAGAAATCCTGGAAGCAGCTCTGCAGCCTTTAAACTTCAGTAGCTCAATCAATGTTTATGATTTTCATAGCTCTCGGATATTGACTTGTATCTGGCTTGATTTAATTAAGTCACAGTCCATCAGAACATCCTGGGCAATCCTGCTTTTCATCAAAATATTTTGGTATCCAGGACACTTGCATCTTTTTTTTTTTTATAGACAGAAATCCTGGAAGCAGCTCTGCAGCCTTTAAACTTCAGTAGCTCACAGATTTTTTTTTTTTTTTTTTAAATACATGAAACTGTTTAACCCCATTAATTTTTTTTCTGGGTCCCAGTAGTAGCATGCAGGTAGTACGTTCCAGATAATCCTTTGTCAGACGCAATGTAAATTAACTGGAAGAGCTGACTATGAGTAGGTGTTTGGAGTCCAGTCAAGCAAATGGATTGTTGCTAAGGAAATAGGAGACGGAGAACAAAATAAGCATGCCCTGGTGAATCAGCAGACTTCTGGATAGCGATGTAGGTAACGTTGCTGAAATTGCTCCAAAGAGAAGAATTCTGGTTTTAAAATCCACTCTCCTGAGAAAGGGAGGGCTCAGAGTTGTTGGCCTTGCTGAGGGAAGGCTGTGTACCTGTTTTCCCCTAAACCCTGCTCGTTTTGAAAGTCCGTAGCAGAGCCTTCTCCGTCCCCTGTGAACGGTGTGGTGGCCGGGGAGGGAGGTCTCTGTAGCTTCTGAGACCATTCTTCTGCCTCTCCCAGGATGTTTGATGTTGGCGGCCAACGGTCGGAGCGCAAGAAGTGGATCCACTGCTTTGAAGGCGTGACAGCAATTATTTTCTGCGTGGCCCTCAGCGATTACGACCTTGTCTTGGCCGAGGACGAGGAAATGGTATGTTATGGAGGAGTTACCGGTGCCTGGCTGCATGGCACGGTAGAGGAAGGGAGGTGGAATCATGGGGTGGGCATGTCTCTGGCTTGCTCCTCTTGTTACAGTTGTTCAAGGGCAGTGAAGATGAGCACTTCCTTGCAGCAGCCTGCAGTATGTTGCCCCAGAAACTGATAAACGTAATGTGTAAATGAGTTTTTTCTCCACGGCCTGGTTACAGGGAGGTGCCTTGAGTTGTCCCTGCAGCCAGTTCCCCTAGGTGTGAGTACCTCCGTGGAGGAACAAACACATCCCGGGGGGTTACAGGGTGAGGAGGTGACCATGGTACGGGTCACCTGGATGGGAGACGCGTGCTGCTCCAGAGCTACTAAACCAACCACTTGGATTCTTGCGTGGTTTTGGTCTAAACCGGTGGGCAATTTTGCAAAGGGCGCACCCTGTTCTGCATTTACCATGGCCTTTCTGTTCAGAGACTCCTAAGCTGTATTGACAAGCATGCCTTTACTTTGTATATGTGGTGCCAAATTCCTGTTTGCCATCGTTTTTACCGTAGTAACGTTCATAACCAGTCAGTACATTCCCTTGCTGAACCCATTGCATTGAGACTCTTTTTCCCAGTTTGTCATGGGTACAGTTTCAATCTGTTACAGTTGTTGGCAGCATTAAAATGGCGAGTGAGCAGTTTAGCCCCTGCTCTTCCTGATGAAGTGGCAGTGAGGCTGTGGCAGTGACACTCGACTCTTTCGTCTGGCCTTTGTAGGAAAGCCCGTCTGTCCCCCCACCCCGTCCTCCCCTAATAACTCTGGAATGATGCATCACCCTTCTCATTTTGTTTTCCAGAACCGGATGCATGAGAGTATGAAACTGTTTGACAGCATTTGTAACAACAAATGGTTTACAGACACATCGATCATTCTCTTCTTGAACAAGAAGGACCTGTTTGAAGAAAAGATTAAGAAAAGCCCGCTAACGATCTGCTATCCAGAGTACACAGGTAAGGCTGGGCTCGTGAAGCTGTATTTTACTTGTTACCAGGGCCAGGAATGAGTCAGGCAAAGCCTACACGATCCACGATAACTTAAAAGCTTATCTTTTTCCCTATTCCCTTAACTCTGTCTCTTGGGCAGCATCTCTGGGCTGTGAAGTTAGCTGATAGCTCATTTTCTCGGAAGAGATGCGGTCATGCATGTCTGGTGTGGAACAGCCTTTGTCCATGTGTTTTATGGCCTGAAATACAAATATAAAGTGTTGCACTCCAGCAAATCAAGGTCACTCCACGTTTTCTACGTGTTATTAGGACAATACTTTCATTTAACTTAAATTTTAGAGGCTAGGAGGCTTATCCGCGTCCTGGGTATGGCACTTGTTCACCCTGGTGTGTCTGTGTTTCAGCGATGGTCTGTCTTGCGGCCCTTCCCTGCCATGGCCCCGCACGGACGTGATGCTCTACCTAGTCACTGCTCGAGGCATTAAGATTTTTTTTTTTTTAAATGGTCCTTCCTTCAAACCTGCTTGTCCCTGTCATTTGTCACTCTTCTGCTATAACTACGTGTTTCTAGCATGCAGCATTACCGTAGCCAGCGTACAACGTTCCCTTGTAGTGATCTCTGGGCAGGGAGGCTGGAGCCTTGCAGAAGTGAGTGGCTTGTCCAAGGTCACTGACCAGAAGCTGGGAATAGACTTCAGGTTTACAAGAAGGGGTTAATGGTGGATTTGGATTTGTAGCTGGATAAGGCAGATGGTTGCAAGCAGCTTAATATGGACTTAAAAGATCTCTCTGCTGTGAACTGCTGGCCAAAGTAAGGGATCTTATCTTTTTCAGGCTCCAACACGTACGAGGAAGCAGCTGCGTACATCCAGTGTCAGTTTGAAGATCTGAACCGGAGAAAAGACACCAAGGAGATCTACACACACTTCACCTGTGCCACTGACACCAAGAACGTGCAGTTTGTGTTTGATGCTGTTACAGATGTTATCATCAAAAACAACCTGAAGGAATGTGGACTCTATTGAGAAGGAAGGGGCGTGGGAAGAAGGTAAAGCTGAGCCGCTCGGCCGCTCGTAGCGTTTAAGCGTTGCACGCCAGCTCGCGTTGGCTCTGCCTTGCACCTCACTAATGCTCGCTGTTTTCTTTTCAGTTTTTATGATGTGGCGTTTTGAGAACCAGACTCTTTGCTGCCTCACGGGGACAGCTGCAAGCATGAACAGGACCAGGGAAACAAACAAACAGCATGCAGAATCGTTGCATTCTTTAGCACAATCTTCTGTATTAGGGACCTTTTTATTGATATGGGATGTTGAAGTTAGGTCAAGATGGAACAACTATTAGTGTGACTAGATCATCCTGGCATCGTTTGGATGGCGTAATCTCAAATGTGTACAGCTGTTGTGAAGTTGAGGTGCTGGATTCCAGACCTTCGATATGTAGCTTTCTCTCTTTCTTTGGTTAACAAGCCACCACTAGTCTGTTTTTAAGGTTTTTTCCATCAAGAAAACTGTAACTTTACTAAATCTTATTTCTTTATTTGCAAACAAATCTTGTTTTAAAAATAAAAAAAACAACAACAACAAAAAAATCACTTAACTATGCACATGTGACCAGATCATGCAGAAAGTATTCCTCTTAGCAGGAACTCTTTGTTTTTAACACTTGGTATGGTCAGGATTTAATATTTCTGCAACTACTTAAAGGATCCTTAGAGCTCTTATGGCGATAGCTTCGGCTTTTTCTGATGTGTAATTTGTTACCATCCTGCTACCATAAGGCTTTTGAATGATGCTCCTGCAGCAGGACAAGCGAGTCTTTTTAGCTTGTGGTTAGGGGTGAACCTGGTTTATGCTGATACCCAAAGCGAGATTCGTTCTGCCTGGTAAGCATAAAGCCAGCTTCGCGCTGAACGTCGAACCGCGGCCGTTGGAGAGATGAAATGCTGAGCTCCAAACCGGATGGGAAACGCGTGCTGCTCCAGAGCTACTAAATCAACCACTTAGATTCTTGCGCATTTTTTGGTCTAAACTGGTGGGCAATTTTGCAAAGGGCGCACCCTGTTCTGCATTTACCATGGCCTTTCTGTTCAGAGACTCCTAAGCTGTATTGACAAGCATGCCTTTACTTTGTATATGTGGTGCCAAATTCCTGTTTGCCATCGTTTTTACTGTAGTAACGTTCATAACCAGTCAGTACATTCCTTTGCTGAACCCATTGCATTGAGACTCTTTTTCCCAGTTTGTCATGTGTACAGTTTCAATCTGTTATAGTTGTTGGCAGTATTAAAATGGTGAGTAAACAGTTTAGCCTTTTCTAGTTTATTCTTAAGTTTTCCAGGAGCGTTCCCCCGCCCCGCTGCTTTTTGTGCTTTGCTGGAGAAGGAAGGTAAGCGCTTCAATGGGAAATGGGTGTAATTAACGGGACGGGAAGGTTCCTCGTGCTTTATCGCACGTGACTGTCGGCACTCTCTGCGCAGCCAGTTCTGCTGCTCCCAAACGCTCGGGTTGTGCTGGCACAGATGGAAAACGGCAGGCATCCAGTCGTTCATCAGGATTATTGGCGGATGGTGAGTTTACTGCTTATTTATAGCACGAGTCTCACCGCCTCTTTTGTACCTGATGGGAAAATGACTGCTCTGGCCTGCTGTTACGTGATGTAGATGTAACCTGTTTCGAAATACAGAATGAAACACTTCAGGGATGCTTGTGGTTGCGCTGTAAGTGGCTACCCCGTCGTGTCTGCGGGTGTCTGACACGCAGCGCTGCCCAGCAGCTGCGAAGAGGGTATTTATGGTCTGAAAACTCTTTTTCCCGAGCTGCCTTGAGCTCTGACTGCCTGACAATTCCCTTCTAGCCAGCCTGGAGCTGTACTGCAGCTTCATGGTAACGTGCGGGGTGGCTCGCCTTGCCTTTTGAACAAATTGGTGCAAACCTTCCCGGTAATTGGACAGCATGGTGCTCCCTGATGGATGCCGGAGCTGTGCTAGAGGCCCAGCCCTGCAAGGGTCCAAGTACACGCTTTATCTCGCCCGGGTGGGAGGAGGGTGCTTTGCCTGGGAAGGTTTTTTTGGTTGGTGGTGGCCTGGTGGCACCCGGCTCCTGTTCCTCCATCCCACCCGGGAGGACGGTGATGGCCCCGCTCTGCTGCACGGGGGCCACCGGTTGATCTCGGCGGGGGATCCGAGTGCGGAATGAGGGCAAAGAATATAAAATGTTCCTCAATCCCAGCTCCTGGACGCAGGAAGGGGGCTTGGGAACAGTCATCAGAGAGAAGTCGAAGTGGGAGAAATGAGAGACATCCATGTTGTGCATATTTCTTTATTTTGTTTTTCCTACAGTTAAATGAAGCTGTATATGTGAGCTCTGCAGTAAACACCGAGAGGATACAGGACTTGTCTACAGTACCAGCGTAGATTTATTTACAAACAGTAAAGAGCAAATACAGCTCTAACTAGCAGAATGAAAAATCTTTCAAGTAACCATTTCCTCTTCACCCTGCCCATTCCTCTTCTGTAGGCGTGATTACCTTCCCCAGACCCTAACGCACGTGCTCCTGCCTGCTCCTGCCTTGGCTTGCCTGCCGTCAGCTACAACCTGACCCAGTGCTCTGGCGAGAAATGCATTCAAGCCTCAGGGCACAAAAAACCCCCCTAATTTCTCAGGTTCCCAGCAGTGACTCGTAGGTAACCCAGCCTCCACCTTCCCTGGAAACTCCTGGTTTGATTAATTCAGCTTTGATAAAAGGGAAGCAGCCAGCGGCAGCAGGACGGGACGATGCTGCTGGCTCTGCCAGAGCACGCTGCGCTGCCCGGCTGCAGCAGGGTGCAAGTACCATGGCTCGATGTTAATTTTTCTGGCTGGTGTACCGGGGACCGTATGCTCTTTGGTATCAAACCACTCCACATCTCATTTATAAACGCTGTGTTTCATGCACTGCAGAGAGCAGGGGTTTCTTTCTTTTTCTTTTTTAAATTAAAAAAAAAAAAAAAAAGAGGAAATGGCCACGAAAGGGAGCAGGAAGTTCAGCTTCAGCCCCTTCCTATTTTGGGCTTTGAAAGTAGGTGGCTTGGTTGGGCAGGTCATAGAAAAAGTGGGCTCCGAGTAACTTGTATTTTTTTTTTTTTTTGGTTAATCCTTTTGGCTCTGCTCAGCAGAACGGCGATGAAATTGAAGTCCTTTCCTCTTCTAGCAGGAGGGAAGAAAGAAGAGGGGGTTAAACGCTTTCCAGCAGCAACGGGAAGGTTGTAACGGTGCAACGCGTGGGAAGGCTGGCTTTAGGGAAGCAACTTTTCGTTGCACCGCGCTCGGCGACGGAAAAAACGCATCGGTTTAAATGCTCTGGCCCCAGGCGGTGACAAAAAACCCCGAGCGCTACACCTAATCTGCCCTCGCTGATTTTGCTGCTGCCTGCAGCCTCGGGAGAAGGCAGGGCCTCCCTGCCCGCTGCCTTGGCGCCGTATTTGTATTTTCCTTGGTGCCAGAAGCGGGTTCTCAGTCGAAAGCTTAGAAAGCAGCTTTGTTCAGAGCACAATGCGGCCGAGGGCTGTGCCCCCCGTCCTGCCGCAGCCTGCCTCGGCCTGCGGGGAAGCTGCCTGCCCGCTTTATTTTTTTTTCTTGCTTCTCTATTTAATGTTCAGCGACAAGGGAAGGGCTGGAGGTGCCCTGAAAAAACCAAAGCGGTTGAAGCCGGTGGCTGGGAGCTGCTCGGAAAGCGGGGAAGAAACTCCTACCGCTGCTCAGGCTGGAGAGCAAAGGATGAGGCTCATAAACACTAATTAAGTCTGGAGCACAGGGCTGGTGGGGAGCGGCTGAGGGAGCTGGGGGTGTTCAGCCTGGAGAAGAGGAGGCTGAGGGGAGACCTGATCGCTCTGCAGCTCCTGGCAGGAGGGGGCAGGGAGGGGGGTGTTGGGCTCTTCTCCCAATAAGTTAGCAGTAGGATGAGAGGAAATGGGCTCAAGCTGTGCCAGGGGAGGTTTAGGTTGGATATTAGGAAAAATTTCTTTACGGAAAGGGTGGTCAAGCATTGGAAGAGGCTGCCCAGAGAGGTGGTTGAGTCCCCATCCCTGGAGGGGTTCAAAAAACGGGCAGAGGTGGCACTTTGGGACATGGTTTAGTGGGCATGGGGGCGTTGGGTTGATGGTTGGGCTGATTTAGAGGTCCTTTCCAACCTTAATGATTCCTAGTTTTTAGTTTCATTAAAAAATAATCCAGCCACCAAGCCAGGAAAGATGAAATTGCTACTGTGCCCTTAACTGGTTTAGTGGTGGACTTGGTAGTGTTAGGTTAATGGTTGGACTGGATGATCTTAAAGGGCTTTTCCAACCTCAACGATTTGATGATTCTATGATTAGGGACAATTTCTTTACGGAAAGAGAGGCCAAGCATTGGACCAGGCTGCCCAGAGAGGTGGTGGAGTCCCCATCCCTGGAGGGGTTCAAAAAACGGGTAGATGTGGCACTTTGGGACGTGGTTTAGTGGGCACAGGGGTGTTGGGTTGATGGTTGGGCTGATGACCTTAGAGATT